TAAACAGAGTACAGGTACTTACCCTTACCTTCTGAACTATCCAGTGAAAACAGCCTCCCAGGCTCAAAGCTAGAGGATCTCTCTCTCTCTTTCTCTCCCTCTCTCCTGTATCAGCTTCTCCTTTAGAGGTTGCTGATTATAATTTAACTGACGATAGACCAAACTATTCTCGAAGATTGGGCAACCAAGAGATTCTTTGACGCCCTACACTTCGTCAACCTACAATTTTGAACTCCATAATAAGTAAATAAATATTTACTTATCGGAAAGATCACAGTCAAATACCACCGTAATATTTACGCAATTTAGATTAAACTCTTAAGAACGATACCTAGCACCAGATGTTCAAATAAACGCTTCTACTCATTCGATAATACCCCGCAGAATTAATGCTTAATGAAATTTAAAACGGTCCATTCACGTTTTAAATAAAAATGTTAAGTTTCTACAAATATTCATTATGGTCCATCTCAACCAAGACCTACTTAATGCAGAATAAAAAAATAAAAATAAATAATGGGTTTTACCACGGTCCTGCGAAGGTCTGCGGTTAAAGTACTGTGAAATACTTAAAACGTCAAAGCAATAAATACACTATATTTTTGGTCTTATTATACATACCGAACCAACGGATCCTTAAGACCCTTTCATTATTTGGCCTTGATTTCATTCTTTCTTTTCATCAAGTACCGGTGTATAGTCCAACACACGATAAATTATCATGAGTTGTCTGGTCTTGAAAATCAAAAGTTGGTATTCTTGACCATTGGTTTTAGTAAACAAATACATAAAGTTAGTTTATCAAAATTAGAAGTTAGTATTTTGTGAATTATTTAAAATTAAAATAATCGAAGAAAGCTGATCAAGAAGAGAAGTGTATTAAAAATGGATGATTTTCAATATTTCGCAAATCCTGTTGGCTTCTTGAGAGCTTAACTGAAACTGGCTCGCATTCTACTGACCTGAGTGTCCGTTAAGATTGTTTGCTTACATGTTTCTAGATTCTCGAATTTTTCCTTAGTAGAAGAATTGATTACATGCAAAAATTTTAGTTTTATCGAATAGGATTTTGTGTTCGGTTTCGTGATTGTTGTTCGGCAACTGCTAATGAGTTCATTTGTTTAAGTCTTAAGGCTCTTTTTGCTGTTCATTGGGTCTAGTTAATGTTTTTCGTCCTGTCTCTCCAATCTATTCTTTGCCACATATGCTGTAAGCGACTACGTAAGATTTTCCACACTGGCATTATTAAACTTCTTATAAGAAACATAAGGAATGGGCACATTAGTTGGTTTTGACTGGACTCTGATTTATGTGCCGCTTGTTATTGACACTTAGTAATGACGTCTTCAATCTGTCTTTTCGAAGATAATCCCCGTATTTACTAATTATTTTGTGAATTCTCGGTTGGTTCCTAAACCATATTTACCATCTCTAAATCCTTTGTCCATTTTGTCACCGTAATCAGTGGTATTTAAAAAATTAAAATTACGGTAGAATTAACTGTATCAGCCGGATGTACGTTAATAGTTTTGTCTTGTTACTATAATCGATTTACTAGCAGGCGTCAAACTTTGCCTAGTTTTGCACAAAATCGGATTTAGCAGGATCTTGATTTTGAAAATACTTCAAAAACTTTTTTCGTAGACGAGGTCATATAAAAATAGGGTACTATAACCCTTAGATAGCGTCCTGCGAGACAACGGGATCGAGCTTGTCGGTCCCTCTGGGTCAGTACTGCACTGTGTTTCAGGCGCAAATTTTCGCTTTATTGATGGCGGCCAGAGAGGTGCTTCGGCGCAACCACGGAAGCAGGAGAGTCTTCTTCTGCTCGGATAGTAGGGCTGCAATCATGGCGCTGAAGCCAGTGAACACGCGCTCCTTGTTGATAAAGGAGTGCAAAGGGGTACTGAGGAGGGTGGCTGAGGAGAGGAAGGTCACGTTGGTCTGGGTCCCGGGTAACACCGGTATCCGGGGCAATGAGGCAGCGGACGCCTTAGCCAGAGAAAGGCTCCTCGCATAGGCATATAGGGCCAGAGCCCCGCTTGGGGATCGCCCCGTGTTTGACGCGGGGAGCTCTCGAAGCCTGGGCGAGAGACTGGGCAGCGGGGGGCTGGAGAGTTGCTCCGGGAATGAGGCAGGCGAGGCTTATGATGGATGGGCCCGCCTTTCCTCGGACCAGGCAGCTGCTTAGACTGACCAGAAGGGAGTGTAGAACACTAACAGGGGCCTACACAGGACATTGCAGGCTTAGGAGGCATCTTTGCTTGCTAGGCATTGGAGACGACCCGGAGTGTAGGTGGTGCATGGAAGGGGAGGAGACCCCGTATCATCTGCTCACCGAGTGCCCTACCTTGACAGGGGCAAGATTGGGAGTCTTCGGAACGGCCCTGATCGATCCGGACTCAGTGCACGGTATTGGGCTAAAGGAGTTGCTGACCTTCTATAGGAGGGGCGGCATTCTGGACGCCCTCTAGAGCGGCCTGGGGGCACAACGGGCCCATCTGGTGGCCTAAGTGCTTGGACGCCCGCGAGGGCGCCCCCCTTTAATACCAATACCAATACCAATAACCCTTAGATTACCACCTTATCACTGTGATTCGAATCCTGTCGGACCAATTAAAGAACCAAACTAAACGCAATAACATAAATCCACTTACCAACAGATAATAGTATATTATGCAATGAGTGCGGTAAACGGCATTTAAGTCACGAGTTTATTTGACACGAGCGGAGCGCAGCAGAGCGCAGAGGAGCGAGTGTTTAATAAACAATCGTTAGTTTTTTGGAACATTTTCGCAAAACAACAAGAATACATTCACTGACATGACCGTCAGAATTGACAAACGTCAAAATTCAAGTCGTGGGAAATATCTCCGAAATCATCAATCAATCGGACTCCCTAACCCGTGTGGTAAAATCACGGAATTGTCCGAAGTGACTCGGATCCGTGGGAAACAAAACTAACGCTGGCATCTTACAGAGGGAGTAGAAAAAAACATTAACAGCACTATTACAATAACGATCATTTATCGTGTGTCGGACTATATTAGAGAATATGTTCAAAGCCGCTTGTTAAGGGTTGAATAACATTTTTCGGTAACTTCATAATTTTTTTGTTTTGGGTTAACTTTTTATTTTCGCGCTGTGTATACAACACCCCCACCATACCCAACCTTGGTTAAGCCGCTCGAAAAGACAGACTTGCGTGAGCGTCCGTAGTGTGAACCACGAAAAAACAAGCTCTCTTTTGTGACCGGTTCGCGAGAACCCCGCACTGTGTTGTGGTAAATACCACCCCCAACCCTCCAGAAAATACCCCTAAGAAGACCCGGCCGGGCAGACGACGACGCGGGAAACCATCAAGGTGGGTGACTAACCGTTTCGGGCGTTGTATGTCCTACCGTTTTCTTGCCGCTCTTTTTCGTTTAAATTTTGAGGGTGATTTACAACCACCTTCCCCCAACCCTTTACATATTGGTCCTTCTCCCCAAATCAGAATCAGTCTTTTGGATTTTTATAGTCATTCACAAACTTTATTAATTTTAAATACATGTTCGATATCGTGAACAGGTTAGCAAAAAACGTGTAAAGTTCGGAGCGCAAAAAAGCGGTTTCATAAAAAGTGTTTACCGTCGTTTCGAATTGCGGCCGTCTTTTTATTTGATTCGTTCTAAGCATATTTTCTGCGTGCTCAAATTCTTCTTCCTTTTAATTTACGTGGGTACTTTGTTTCGAGACTTAGGTGTGCATTTGTTTACAAAACGATTTACAATGTCGGAAATAGATAAATTTATTGCTAAGCGGGATTTAACACTTAGACGCTTTAACGATATATTGTCAGCGGGTCAGAAAGCTCGCGTTGAACCCGATGATGATGAAATTTTATGCAAATTCCAGTGCATGGTGGAGGATTTGCCGAGTTTAGTTAGCACTTTTGAGTCCTTGCAATTGGAAGTAATCTCCTTAGCGAATGATTCGGAAAGAGATCGACAGTTTGCGGTTCAAGATCACTTTGATCAGTTGCATTATTCAATTCGATCTATTGCCAAGCGATTATTTGAGAAAGTGGAACCTAAGGCAGGCTCTCCGGTACCATCTGTAGTTGGTCGAGAGTCGCAAAGAAATAGTAATCTCCGACTCCCCCGTATTATCATTCCGAAATTTGATGGCGATTTGAAAAATTGGCCTACATTTTTTGATATGTTTAACACGTTGATCCATAATAATTCTTCCCTTTCAAACATTGAAAAATTTCAATTTTTAGTGTCTTATTTGGAAAAGGATGCTCTCAGTGTCGTGAAGAATTTGCCAATTAAGGATGCCAATTATAGTATAGCTTACAATGCCCTCGTGAAGCGTTATCAAAACGATCGATTGTTGTTAACCGATTATTGGCTGTCGATCTTTCGGGCTCCGACTATGAAGAGTGACTCGGTTGTTGAACTGAGGAGATTGCTTTCAACATTTTCAGAGAATCTTGCAGCTATCGATAAATTCGATATCGACTTGTGGGATTTTACAAAATTCAATTTGCTTTTAGAGAAACTCGACTCGACTCTCAAGACGAGGTTCGAACTCAAATTTTGTGATAAAGATATCCCAACTTTTCAAGATTTATGTGATTTTTTGGAACAGAATTGTAAAGCTTTAGAAAACTCTTTAGTTACCTCAAAAGGTATTACCCCTACCAAGGAGGCTTGAGGTTTCGAAGCGAGTTTCAACCGATACACGTAGACCCACATCTATGATAGCGACGTCTACCCCTCCGAGTGCTGATGTGAGTTGCACGAGTAAGTGTTTATACTGCCCTATGGACTACCATCCTCTGACAAAGTGTGATTCCTTCCTATCTCTTGAGTCCCCTCAAAGGCATGTGTTCATCAAGCAACATCGTTTGTGCTTTAATTGCTTCGCGCGATCCCATGGTGTTGGAAGATGCCCCTCCAAGATTAATTGTCGTGTATGTGGCAAGCGCCACCATACTTTAGTGCATTTTAGAAATGCTACTACCCCCTCCCCGTCGAATGAAGCTACCCCCTGCTTCCCGCAACCAGGAAGGTACTATCCCTAGTCCGGTGACCATGATGACCAATCTCTCCTCTCAAAAGTTCGTGCTCTTTGCCACTTGCTTGGTGTCCGTTTCGGATAAATCTGGCAGACTTGTTACTTGTCGTGCACTGTTGGATTCAGCTAGTCAAGCCAGTTTTGTGACAGATTCCTTTGCGAAGAAATTGGAGCTTCCAAGGTCTCTCTCTCCGACACCAATTCAAGCCCTCAACCAAATGTCGACGTCTGCGTTAGGGAAGGTTGTCCTGAACGTGAACCCCTCCCAAAGAAAATCCCCTGCTCTCCATATAGAGGCTTTAGTTATTCCATCTATTTGTGATAAGGTACCCTACCAGGTGATTGATAAGTAGAATCTAAAACATCTCAGATCCCTACCCTTGGCTGATCCCCACTTCTGTGAACCCAACGAAATAGACGTGCTTTTAGGGGCAGAGGTTTACGGAGATATTTGTTTGCCTGGATTTAGAAAAGGACAGAACGGTGGCCCATGCGCTTTTCGGACCATCTTCGGATGGGTTGTCCTAGGAAAAGTGAATTCTTTAGAACCATCTTCTCCCTTTAGTTTTTATACCACTGTGAGTACTGCTGTGGATGTTTCTTTGAAGAGATTTTGGGAACTCGAGTCCGTCCCTTCAAAGACCTTTATGTCTCCTGAAGACAAATTGTGTGAGGAGATCTTTCTCTCTACCCATTCCCGTGCCCCTTCAGGTAGATACGTCGTATCCTTACCCTTTAAGGATAAACACTCTTCACTTGGTGAATCTTACCCTCAAGCCCTTAGGCGATTCCAGTTGTTAGAGGCGCATTTGGCCAAGAACCCAACTTTGCGATTAGCCTACAACGAGTTCTTGAGAGACTATTGGGAACAAGGTCACATGGCACTCGTTAGCGACCTGCCCCCCTCACCCCAAGGTTACTACATTCCTCATCACGCCGTCTGGAAGCCACATAGCGAACCCCTTAAATTGCGTGTTGTGTTTGATGCTTCAGCTAAAACTTCCAACGGACGGTCTCTGAACGATCTTCTATTTACGGGTCCCAAGCTCCAACCCGACATTGGAGCCATTTTGCTCATCTTTCGACTGTACGGTGTGGTTTTCACCACCGATATTCGTCAGATGTATCGTCAAATCCTAGTAAGTGACGCCGACCACCTCTTCCAGCTGATTCTGTGGCGTTTCGATCCCCGCGAAGCAGTGCGAGAGTACGTCTTGTCAACGGTGGTCTATGGACTAAGTTGTAGCCCATACCTGGCTATTCGCGTGTTGCGTCAGCTTGCTCGGGACGAAGGAGCGCGTTACCCGTTAGCAGTCCGTCTCCTAGATTGCCAAACCTACATCGACGACATTATCGGAGGAACAGACTCGTTGGAGGAAGCCCGTGAGTTGAGGGATCAATTAGTATCGCTGCTAAAATTGGGTGGTTTCGAGTTGCGCAAATGGGCGAGCAACTCCCCCGAGTTATTGAGTTCACTCCCCGCTTCACATCATCAACCCGTTTCCCTATGCGGAGACGACAATCCCAGTTTAAAGGTGTTGGGATTACAGTGGTGTCCCTTACGGGATGTGTTCTCCTACCGCATCCAAGTAGCGGATAGGACGTGCACAAAAAAGAATATTTTGTCGCAAGTAGCCCAAATATACGATCCCCTAGGTTTTTTATCCCCGGTCGTGTTGACTGCCAAAATTCTCCTACAGAGGCTTTGGTCCCAGGGCGTCGATTGGGATGCACCTCCCCCCCGCGACATATTCGAAGATTGGAGTTCGTTTTCGTCTCAGCTGGGTAGTCTTTCTGGGCTGACAATCCCTCGTCGGGTACTGCCTAGCAATGGCGTCCAGGTGGAGACGCACGGATTTTGTGACGCTTCGGAATGCGGATACGGTGCAGCCGTGTATCTGCGAAGCGTCAGAGAGGACCATATCTCTGTCACCCTTCTGTGTGCAAAGAATCGGGTAGCGCCTTTGAAGCGAGTGTCGATCCCCCGTCTGGAGTTGTGCTCAGCGTTGCTGCTCGCCCAACTCGTAGATTTCGTCCGATCCGCTATAGCCTCTGAGTTGACTATCACGAGAGTATTCGCCTGGAGTGACTCCAAAATTGCGTTGTCTTGGATAAAGTCCTCCCCCCACAGATGGAAAACTTTTGTGGCCAATCGCGTGTCCCTCATTCAGGACATCATTTCCCCCAGTTCCTGGCATCACGTGGCCGGTTCATCCAGCCCTGCTGACTGCGCATCCCGAGGGCTCTTCCCCGAGCAAATATTAATTCACCCCTCTTGGTTCTGTGGTCCCCCCTGGTTGCGTCTTCCGGTGGAAGAGTGGCCCACCTCCGACTTCACCCCCGGAGACGATCTGGAACTGGAACGTAAACCAGTGTTGACTTGTGTGTCCCTTTAGTTGACTCGCTCGGAGAACTGTTAACCCGTTTCTCGTCGTTACGAAAAATTGAGAGGATCCTGGCTTATTGTTGTAGGTTTCTAAATAATTGTCGTACCCCCATTCCCAAGCGAGTGCTTGATAATTTGTCTTTTGCGGACACGTACCACGCCCGCACGTTGCTGACAGGATACGTCCAACGTGAGGTGTTCGCCGGTTTGCTGAAGTGTCTTCGAAACGGTAAACTGTGCCCCAAACCTTTACGCTCCCTAGCGCCCTTTATCGACGAGCACGGTCTCATTCGAGTCGGTGGCAGACTCCGAGGTTCTGCGTTGGCTTTCGACGCAAAACATCCTCTTCTACTACCTCGAGACCATCGCTTTACCGAACTCGTGATCGAAAAGTTCCATAAGGAAAATTGCCACCCGGGCCCCCAATCGTTGTTGTACCAGATTTCACAACAATTCTGGATTTTGTCCGCCCGCAGAGCAATTCGTCACACCCTATCGCAGTGTTACCGATGCTTCCGTGTCCAACCTTCTTGTGTACAGCCATTCATGGCTGATTTACCTCCCGTTCGTGTATCGCAAGTCAAGCCATTCGCGCATACCGGTGTCGATTTCGCCTGTCCAATTTCCATTACCCTTGCGCGAAGGCGCGGCGCTAAGACTCAGAGGGCTTACATTTGCCTATTCGTTTGCATGGCTACCAAAGCCATCCATTTGGAATTGGCTTCTGAACTCAGCTCCGACGCATTCTTGGCCGCTTTTCGGCGCTTTGTCACTCGCCGCGGGCGTTGCACTGACATGTATAGTGATCAGGGTAGAAATTTTGTCGGTGCTAACCGGTTGTTGGTACAGTATTGCCAGCAGTCCGTCGACCAGTGTGAGGTGCGCTGGCACTTCAACCCACCCTCCAGTCCTCACTTTGGAGGTCTTTGGGAGGCCGGCGTCAAGTCGGTAAAGAAACATTTGTTTCGTGTGATAGGCTCTCAAATCCTGACTTTCGAGGAAATGTCGACAGTGTTAACTCAGGTGGAATCCATAATGAATTCCCCCCCATTATGTAGTTTGAGTTCCAAACCAAACGATTTGCATAGCCTTACTCCTGGGCATTCTCTGACCCTGGAGCCCCTATCTGCCCCTCCCGACGACCCTTTAGCTAATCTGAACACTAACAGACTCACTCGTTGGCAGCTCATGCAGCAGTTGCATCAGCACTTCTGGGACAGATGGCATCGGGAATACCTCCCCCAGCTACAGCAACGGCACAAGTGGAACACCACGACTAACCCCCCAAAAGTTGGTCAGTGGGTTTTAATTAAAGACGAGAACCTCCTCCCGTTAAAGTGGCTTCTGGGCCGCATCACGCGCTTGTACCCCAGTTCCGACAAGGAAATTCGCGTTGTGCAAGTGCACACGGCCAAAGGCACTTTCGATCGACCTTTGGTCAAATTATCTTTTGTCCCTAACTGTTAACCTGTTCAAGGGGCAACCGTGTATATAGTATAGGATAAGTTTATGGGAAAAATTGGGTATTTTTGGGAGGCCGGAATGTTAAGGGTTGAATAACATTTTTCGGTAACTTCATAATTTTTTATGTTTTGGGTTAACTTTTTATTTTCGCGCTGTGTATACAACACCCCCACCATACCCAACCTTGGTTAAGCCGCGCGAAAAGACAGACGTGCGTGAGCGTCCGTAGTGTGAACCACGAAAAAACAAGCTCTCTTTTGTGACCGGTTCGCGAGAACCCCGCACTGTGTTGTGGTAAATACCACCCCCAACCCTCCAGAAAATACCCCTAAGAAGACCCGGCCGGGCAGACGACGACGCGGGAAACCATCAAGGTGGGTGATTAACCGTTTCGGGTGTTGTATGTCCTACCGTTTTCTTGGCGCTCTTTTTCGTTTAAATTTTGAGGGTGATTTACAACCACCTTCCCCCAACCCTTTACACCGCTTTATCTCAATTCATTTCAAATACACAAATTACGTCTCAGAACTATGCGTTGTCGCTGTTTAAATGGTACCCTTTACCCAAAAATTCTATAGATTCTCTTATTAGGGGATGTATTTTACTTATCTAGTAATAGGACACTTAAATCAGCAAATGGCCTTTCCAATCCGTACATTGAATCCTATTCACCAACTCAAAAATATACCCGATTCGCTGAACTAACGTTCCAAAAGGAAGATTGTCTCTGCATTGGAGATAGCCAATGCATTTTCGGAATGCAAAAATAAATTTCAATGAGTATTAACGCACGATGAACTGAGCAAAATGATTCTGGGATAAATTTTATAATAATGTTGCCAACAATGCTTACTGAATATATGATATTGATTATAAGATGTAACCAATGTCACGACTGGAGATTTCAACTTGCAATTAGTTCTAGGAGTACTTTTTAAAGTGCTGTAGCCATTTCAAGGTATTTTAATTAAGACATTTAAATATAACGAAATTAATGTTGCATTGTCAAAGGTTATATTATTAATTTTAAAAAAACGCAATAAACTCATCATTGATATTTTATAACATTCTTACAAACTTAACTAATCTCTTTTGAATCTTTTCTATAATCTGTGTATAACTTAGTATAGAAAGGAGAATAAATTATGCTACCGCATCAAGCTTCGACTGCATTTGAATTGAACCCAATATTTCTTTATCCTAGAATAACTATTTGAAAAAATGTTCTTCGAACGTTAATTTCGTATCAACCTTAGTTCAATTGATGTTCAAGGAGAAGTGGTCTTTCTTCATATGCAAATGACATAGAATTAAGCTTTTTGGTGTTAAAATCTAACAGATTATCTTTAAAAAGTATTGGAAGTATTTTTTGACTCAAACGTTTTAAGCATAGTCGGTATATCGTACAGAAGTTTTAGTTTTGTCTTAGAACACAACAGATCTGCAGTGAAAATACAAAATACATTTAAATGCGAGGAAAAATTAAAAATTTGACCACCTCATCAATATCATACTAAAAAGAAACATTTGGACCCTTTACAACAGAAGAATTAGCCTACTTTCCCTATACCTATGGCCAAGAAATAATTGTAAGAACTTGGTGTGAAAAAACTTCTGACTAAATCGACCAAGACAAACTGCTGAAAATTATTTATAAGTTGCTAAAATGTCCGCCAAAGGGCAAATCGCATTCTTGAATGCGAAATCTCGATTTCGGAAAAATAATTGTAGATGGCAGAAAAGTAAAACGAACACCATTCTAAGTTTGGGATAAATTAGGTTAGTTTTATTTTTTGTAAAACAGTTTTTGCTCAATCACTTAATCGAAGGGGGGAGGGAGGAAGAAGAAGATTTTGTTTATTAACCACATATTGTACAATAATAATACAATTAGAATCTGTCAATATAAGGTAAAATACAAAAACAAAATGTAAAAAGTATAAAGGTTTAAAAAAAAAAGTATTTTATAAATAACACAGTAGTGAACAATAGCAAATGTAAGGGTCAACAACAGTAACACGAAGTATAAAAATCGTACAGAAAGTGCAAGATAGTATGCTATGGTCTTCACACATTTCAGTAAGCCAAGGATTTTAATTTAGATTTTTTATTTTGATGGAATACTCGTGCACACTATAGAAACAGTTTTCAATAAACAACACTTTAATATTTGTTTTGAACACCTCAAAAGCCATATGTCTATACACATCTGGCAGCATCTTGTACAAGTTAATGCTTAAAGAATTTTCGTCTGATGTAACAAGTCTGTGCTTTGGAACTCATAAGATTTTTTGCACGTGTTGGATAACTATGAGACACACCTTCAAATATATTAGTATGTTTGTGAATTTCTAAAAGATATGGACAATATAGATACAGGGCAGTGTCATTATCTTAGGTTTTTAAAATATGGAGCACAGTGTTCATTGTGCTTTTTAAAATATGGAGCACAGTGTTCATTGTGCTTAGCCCCAGCAAGAATTCTTATAGCCCTTTTCTGTATCCTGAATATTTGACAATTGACTTCATTGGTCCAAGACATTTGAGATAAATAAAATTTTGAAAATTATCTTCTATCAAAATAAGTTTCACAAGCCTATATGATAAGGGTATAGATAGTGGGTCTTTTAAAATACGGTGTACCGATGTTTTAGTAATATCCAAGTTCAGACTTATTCTTCTTAAACTTTAATGGGGATATTGTGGACATACCTAGGCTAAATCATGATGACGTTCTCTTAGTTCCCAAAGCGTCACAAAATGTAAGCCACTGGATTAGGATGAACATTTACTTCTATGACCAACTAACATTTTTGCTGCTGCATACGAGGTGTGTTCAAAAAGTAAGTTTTTTTTTGGTTGGTACACATGTCCCTAATATGCTCGGCGATGCAACAATAAATATGCATTAAAAAATTATGTAAAAAATGGAGCACAGTGTTGAAAAACACTTGAAATGTTGACAACAGCATATGGTAAATCTACTTTGAGCAAAAAAAGGTTTCTAAGTGGTACAAGCTGTTCCAAAATGGCGGAGAAGACGTCGATGACGAACCTCGCACTGAAGGCCCTATCACTTCAATAACTGATGAAAGCGTTGAAGAAGTGAAACAAATGGTGTTGAAAAATCGTTGAATCACTATTAAAGAATTGACTGAAGACGTCGGTATTTTCATTGGCTGCTTAACGAAAGGACCGTTGAAAGAGCATCGCCCAATAGCTATTAAACGACGTCAATAATGATTCTGATGTTCTTAAAAAGGTCATAACTGATGACGAATCATGGCTATATGGTTATGACGTCAAAACCAAAGCCCAGTCGTCCCCAACGGAAGAACCCAGAATCGCCAAGGTCGAAAAAAGTGCGTCAAGTTCGATCAAATGTCAAGGCTTCCCTTACTATTTTCTTTAATTATCGTGGCATAGAACAATCATCAAGTACCACAAGTTCGTATGGTCAATAGAGTTGAAGTTATGCGCCGTTTGCGAGAAGCAATACGAAGAAAATGTCCAGAATTGTGTGAAAACAATTCATGGATTTTGCATCACGATAACGCACCTGCTCACTCATCGTTTGGCCAAAAATAAAACCACAATCATGATTCAGTCATTATATTCACCGGAGATGGCTCCATGCGACTTTTTCCTATTCTCAAAACTCAAGAAACCCATGAAAGTAAGGAGTTTTGGAACGATTGAGGAGATACAGAAAAAATCGCTGGAGGAACTCAAGTTTATATCAGAAAGTGCTTACCAGAAGTGCTTCGATTATTGGAAAAAACGTTGACACAAGTGGATTATATCTGGAGGGAACTACATTAATTTTGATGAATAAATAAATATTTTTTGATAAAACTTAAAAGTCACATTACTTTTTGAACACACCTCGTATACTCGCTCAGTCACGCATGCATTTTGATGACAGTCGACTAACCGAAAATTAGAGGTTTTTAAAAAGGTACATAATTAAGAGATTTTGACAAACATCAAATGACGCCATAAAAGATGCGTATAGCGTTTTGACAAATAGACGTATTTTTTCGATTTGTCAAATTTGATAGCCTGCGATAAAACCAAACTATTATAATAATATCTCGATACTTAAAAATAATAATAATAATAATTTCTGTCAAAGGAGATGCTTTATTTCTTTTATGGTTTTCTTTTTGCTGTTCAAAGCGTCAGTAGTTAATAAACTTAGTGTTGAACTTACTAAAGCTAAATTTTTATTAAAAAACAAAGTAACAATACCCAATATTTGAAAACAGATAACAATATTGTAAGAAAACTAATATTAACTAAGATAAACCATGAACTTTTAATTCCATAACGCCCCGTGAAGTGGAGATGCTTATCAAAATTCAACTTCTTGTGAGATTAAAATTCTTTGGTTCTTTCAAAATTCAAAATGGCAATTGCGTCCTCTGATGGCCATTTCAAAATATCAAAAATAATTAACAGCATTCTAATGTGTAAGCAAGTTTTATTTTTCATTCGCACCTTTCAACTTCTCCTTTCTCCATCGACCTGCTCGTGGCGGTTAATTTAAGCGATCAATTAAAATCGCACAGAAGGCTTGTTTTCCACCGACGGACTTGTTGTCTTGAACGTTGCGATTTTAGTGGTTTTTCGTGTAACGGTCGGTTCTCGTGACACCGGATATCATCCAGGTTTCCACCACTCGGTCATGTACCGACGGACTTATACGAAGTCTCTCGCGGCCATTGTGCTTCCTTCGATCCAATTGCTTCAATTGTTTTTAAAACAAAGAAATTATATTTACGAATTCTAAAGGCTGTATCACAATTTCTTGTGAGTATTGACCAAAGTGTTCTTATATGCTCTCGTGTTAAATAAATAAAATCCCCTCTATTTTAAACCTTTACCATAAATGGAACGCCCGTTTTTTACCTAAATTACCCAAAAAGAATCAAACTGGTGTTCTAAAAATAAGCAATGAACCTATGCAATTGTGGAACATTTGAGGCATGTAATTTCATATA